TCTATGACTCTGTGTCATAGACATTAAACTGCTGCAGTCTGACTGTTCACACTATGATACATCCCATAATACTGATGCTACCAGCTGCTTACAGACGACATCAGACCCGTTTCTGTCCAAAAAGTCTCTAAATGATGGAAGAAAAATTATTAAAAATGATTCAAAATTGTTCAGTATTTTTCAAAATTTGCCAAACTGACAAACTGCAGTCCATCATTACTCAATAACTGGACAGAACATTGACCAAAACGGTTTGAAAATGCAATGACTTTGTTCAAAATTAGTTAAATGTCGTCAAAAATGATGCAAGAATTCTCCAAAATGATCCAAACTTTCTTCAGGATGACATGAAATTTGTTTAGTAACTCAAAAATCTGTCCAACATGACTCAAGAATCGTCCACTAAGGTTTTAAAATGACTAGAAATGTGTCAGAATGATTCAAAAATTATAGATTAAAGTAACGCATGACAGAAACCAGATCCAGTGTTCAGACTGTGACACCTGGATGGATGTAGAACTGATCTGGTGTCAGTTTCTACCAGAACTCAGATGTGTTCTTCCTCCTAAATGTCATGTGTCTATCTGCTGTACTGATGAAGTTCTCAGGCTCAGAAATGATGGAAAAAGTCCATTAAAGTGATAAATCTGGACCCTCCTTTATGGACTTCAAGGACCTGGAACTCTGGAATATTCACAGTCTGAAGGTAGAACTCTGCAGATCCAGAACCAGATCTTCTGAGGAGGTTCTGGTTGATGTTTGATGAAACCTTTCTATCTTATCTTCTATTGAGTTAGTTCCTGCAGCTACACATGATGTGAGTTTGACCTCTGCTTGTTTAACGAGCGTTTTAACGAGTGAACCGAGCCGTCATTGTGCTGACAGAGTGATGAAGCTGTCGCTGTTTAACCCAGCAGCTGACTGCACAGAAAACTCACCTGGCTGTCAGGTGAAGGTGGAGGTGTTCAGACTTTATCCTGGTTTAGTGGCAGCCTGGATGTAGTGTAGGTGGAAAAGATGAACTCTGTTTCAGGTCATTCCATGTAGCAGGAACCAGAACCAGCTGATTCTGTGTCTGCAGTCACTTCATTTAATGACGCAGAGTTTTGCCTTCAAAGTATTTAGTTTCAGGTCCTTGATGTCAGTGGAATCTATGTTTTGGTGCATTAATATATATATATTTTTTACCATTTTATGTCCAGATTTTTGAATTGTTGATAGTTTGTTGTGTTAATATTCAGGTTTTTTTTAATGTTTTGTGGCATTTTTAATCAGTCTTTTGACATTTTGGTACATTAATATTTTGGTTTTCCTGTGTTTTGGTGCATTACTATCCAGAGTTTTGACTTTTTGGTGCATTAATATTTGAGTTTTTGAGGTTTTGGTGCATGAATATTAAGGTTTTGTGCCGTTTTAATGCAATATTATCCAGGTTTTTGACATTTTGATGCCATAATATCCAGGTTTCTGATGGTTTGTGGCAGTAATATTTTACGTTTTTGAGGTTTGGGTGCATTTTTTCAATGTTTATTTCCTTTTTGGTGCATTAATATTCAGGTTTTTGATGTTTTGCAGCATTTTTAGTCAGTCTTTTGACATTTTGGTGCATTCATATTTAGGTTTTTCTATGTTTTGGTGCATTATTATCCAGAGTTTGGGCATTTTGTTGCATAAATATTCAAGTTTTTGAGGTTTTGGTGCATCACTTTTCAGGTTTTGTGCTGTTTTGATGCATTAACATCCAGGTTTTCAACATTTTGGTGCATTAATATCCATTCTCTGAAAATATTCACAGTATGAAGGTCAAAGTTTGCGTCATTAAACATACTAAAGTTACTGTGGATAAAGAAGCAGCTGGTTCTGAGGAGGTTCTGACTGGTTTTTCATGGAAGGACCCATTTCTAAGCGAACCGTTCCAGCTTCCTGTGGTTAATAAAGTGACACGGTGTCGTCATTGTTATTTTTATCAGGAGTTTGTTCCTCGTTTCCACTGATATCAGCCCACATCTGCTGGAAACTGGTGCATCTGTCACCTGCCTTTTGTCACTTTCTGTTTGAACAAGGAGGCAAAACGTGGCCCAGAAATAGATTCGGTCACGTGTTTTGTTCAGAAAGAGTTATTTCTGTGCAGCTGCAGGAGCTCGTTTAAAGGCCATGCTGGTGTTATTAACGAGGAGCTGCTGCTTCTCCATGTGGGTGTCGCACAGAAACGATAAACAGCCAGATTCAGAACAGTCTGGATCCACAGAAAACTGTCTGGATCTGCAGAAAACTGTCTGGATTCGCAGAAAACTGTCTGGATTCACAGAAAACTGTCTGGATTCAGCTCCATTATGACCGTTTTCTCTCACGTCGTTGTTTCTCACACTATTCACAACACAATCACTTTGAGTATTTGACAACAAATGAAGCTCAAGATTCAAGATAAGCTTTATTTATACACATTTATACACGGTTCAATGTGCAGTGAAATGTGTTGTGTACCAGCATCCGGTTTCAATAAAAAGAAAAATAGAGAAATAGAAAGAATAAAGTAAAAATAACTTCTTTTTTAAAAAATTTTTTATTTGTCCAGCTCAACAGATGAAATATTCCATTTTTTTCTGGATGTTTATCCGGTTATGAGCTCAGATCCGTCAGATGACATATTTAACGTGGTTTGGGTCGGTACTAGATGTACGTCATTAAAACCGTCAGTGTTTCCCTTAACGGCTGAATGAGGCAGTGATGTGATTATTTTTCTGATTTAATGTTCTCGTTTCTTAATTATCAGCAAGCCCCGGCCGAGCTCTGAGTTACTTCATATCTGTTTACAGCCTCTTTAACTCGTAAACAACCAATGTGTGTATTATTCTAAATTAGAGCTGTGTGATTTTGGTGTTACAAAACGTTGTTTTTCTGCGATAATATTTGAAAAAGTACAGTTTTCACTCTGTGTGGAAAGAATGAAGCATCCTGGAATAATTGGGGGGATTTTGCAGGCGAGTCCAGCAGAGTGCTGCATAGAAGATAAAAAGATTTATTTTTTTTAAATATCTGAAAAGATCCATTCTGAACGTTTTCCATTTGGTGTAACACAAGCAAAGACACCCAACATGTGTTTTGTTTCCTGCTTACAGGCTGCAGTCACCAATTATGTTCATTATTAATTAATCTCTGGATTATTTTCTGCTTCGGCGGATCAAAAAATGTTTGGTTTAAAATGTCAAAAAATGTTTAAAAACATGGATCAGATTTTCCTCCAGTGTCTTGTTTAGTCCAAAGATGTTCAGTTTAGCGTCGCACAGGAAAGAAACCAGAAAAGATTCACTGAAGAAGCTGAACTCACAGAATTGAGACTAATTTTATTACAAATCACATATTTTGTGATGTAATAGTTGATAATTAATTTACTTTTCTCTGATAT